CGACTCCCTTTAACCTTAATCTGGTTTTGGTGGTTGTTCATTCGGTTGCACTCTATAACACTATAGCAAAAACCTCTCTACAAAAAAAAAAAAAAAAGAAATATATAAAGCGAAAAATCATTCTTAGCATTATGACAGTTAATTAAAACTTCAAATTTTTTAAATTTTAAAACAAGTGACACGTTTTGTATAATACATTTAAAGAACTAATGAGCTAGCTTTAACTACCATACTTGAATTTCTTTGAATCAAGGAACTAAATTAAAAGATGTTTTTCAGCTAGAGGGGCGTGTATACACACGAAATGAGGGAAAGAAAAAGAGAGAAAGCACCTCCCCCGCCAAGGCCTGATCATGCTGGAATCCTATTTCCTCCCATTCTCCATCCCATTAAGGACCCTGGGTGCACTTTCCTGGTACCCGGCTTGAAGCAGAGGGGACAGGGACCCAAACCCCAGACATGTGAAATCCAGCTTCCCCTGCATGGCACGTAACCACTGCGCCACAGGGCAGCCTCAATTTCTATACGAATAAACAAGTAAGTTCACTTCTATATTTGTGAGGCTTAGTTTCAATAGTGACCGTGTTTCTTTCTGTTTGTGTCATTAAGAAATTAAGCTTCTCAGCAAGAAAATGCAGAGTGTCCTGACAGCGCTCCTATCACTGCTCTCCGTCTACATCATAGGTATAGGCGTGGGCCTCACAGTCCTCTCCAAAGTAAGTCGCTTCTTCTTGCACTGCGCATCTCTATAGCCTTGAATATTAGCATGTGAAAATAACTTCCATCTTTCCACAAGTTGTAAGCCTCAAAGTAGCTCACCTAATTAACATCTTCTTTTGCATCTGCAGGGCACAGCACCTGCAGAAGAGGTCTGTAGAAGACCTCTTTTCTTCCCTGAAATGATTAACCACAGTACAGGATTTACAGTGTTCTCTGTTTAAAGCCCGCTGATAGGAGATTAAGAGAACCATTTTATATGCTATCTTTCTGCTGCAGAGGTGAGGGGTAGGGAGGTGAGGGTGGAGTAATGCTGTTATCTATGAAAGCCCAAAGAGTAGACTTTAAGAGGGAAAAGGAGTAATGAAGAGATAAGAAGCTGCCTGAAAATACTGAACATATCTTAATAGTCAAAAAGCCCAAAGTTATAGAGAAAGAATATCTTTTAACTGAGCACATAAAAAGGGCTGTGTATATGTTAGGATTACCATAAATCCTACAGCCAACATCACTTAAGTTGTCATGTTTATTTATTGATGGACTAACAACATTTCAGAAATGGTCTGAAAATCATGAACTTTTATTGTATATCAAGTAAATATTAAAGTTCATCTTATTACAGTATGAAGTATCTGCCACAACTTTTATTGTATATCAAGTAAATATTAAAGTTCATCTTATTACAGTATGAAGTATCTGCCACAACTGTGAGAGCATAAAATGTTTTACAGACTTTCTTTTTCTTCTTGGCAGTCGAAATCTAACACTCTGAGAAACAAAGAAACAAAAGAAGATTCACAAAAGGTATAGATCAACACCTGTAAAGTATTTTCTGAGTTGTGGCTGGCTATAACTATTTCAAATCATAAGTATTTTTAGAAACAAGAAACATCATTGTCACTTCAACCACTGATACTAATGTTTTCCACTATTGAGAAACTCGATGATAATCTTAAGTGATAAACCATTATTTAAATTGGACAGTTCTCAATCCTAAAATTCTATTTAATGTACTCAAAGCCCAGAAGTGTTAACTATAGGTACAAATGTGTGGGGAGGTTGTTTCTGAGACTAGTAGCAGCAAAGAAGGAAAAGGCTCTGACACTGTGCAGAATCATCACTCAGTCTTAAGAGTGGGTTTTCCCCCATTTGTATTTACAGAAGAAGAGTGCACGACGTATTTTTCAGGAAATTGCTCAAGAACTATATCATAAGAGATACATAGAAACAAGCCAACAATCTGTAAGTATAAAATATCAAAAAGATGTAATACAGATAGAATGTCTGCAAAACTAAGTTGCCTATGGGGCCAGCAGGTGGCATGGTGGTTAAGATGCTGGACTCCCACAGGACTGACTATCATTTGAGTTCTAGAATTGGCAGCTTGAAAATCACACCTGGCATGTGTGTGTGAATGCCCAAAACCCCAGGAGAATAAAGGAGGAGGGATTGAGGCATTCAATACTGTCAGGGAGGTGGGGGTGATTTCTCACTTTCCTCTCACTATCTCTCTCTGTCTCTCTCTGACTAGTCCACACGCCCTAAGATAAAAAGATTAAGAAAAAAGAAAACTAAGCTGCCAACGAGCTGCCAATAGTCGTGTTCATGTTTTCCTTTAAAAGAGTCTGAGAGACTTGTAGTTAAAATATGTTTTTATATTGAACCTGTTTTGATCAATATGTAACAAGGGACATCTGATACAGTATTAAATAGCTCCAGGCAGGCATTTTAGTGACAGGGAAATGTTCAGAAACACACTGTATACAGGAAAGTTTTCAATCTAGACAAGTATGCTTTTGTGGCTTAAAAGCTACTTTTTACAGCATCTCACATGCAGCAATAGGCATTAAGTAGATGTTGCAAACATTTGTGGAAAAAACTACAAACAAAAAATCACTTGTTAGTGATAAGGTGAAAAGTCACATTAGAAAAGATGCAGCTAATGATATAAAACAAGTATTTTTCTTCCATCTGATAGGAAGAACACATCCATATTAGTTACAATACATTCTGACAGTGCTTCTTCCCAGACCTACGTAAAGAAGTTTTTGGTGTTTGTTTTTTTTTTTTAACAAGATATTAGGGGCTAGCAGATGGGATAGTGGATAAGGCGCTGGACTCCCACATGGCTGACCGTGGTTTGAGTCCCAAACCTGGAGGCTTGATACTCATGCGCGAGTGTGTACCTAAAATCCCAAGAGGAGAATGGAGTAGAAGGGACTGAGGTATGGCCAACCCCCGTGGGCGGTGATTTCTCACTTTCTATCTGTGGTACACATACCCTAGAGCAAAAATCTCTCTTTGAAAAATAAATAAAGGTGCTGTTCTAGAGGTAGTAGAGCAGATACTCAATTGTTCACGGTGCATGGTCAGGATGCTCAGATTTAAATGAAAATGTACACAAAATAATTAACTTTCCTAACAGTATTTTCCTCTTAATAGCAGCCAAGAGGATAGATGTAACAGGATACTTACACTGTGTTGTTGTTGTTGTTGTTGTTTAACCCATCTATTAAAAAGGACTTTGAGACAGGAGAGAGTATCATCCAGGTAGTCACTTCAGTCCTTTAGTGTATGTACAAATTCATAAAGGTGACGGCCAATTCACCCAAGATGCCATGCTCAACAATTACATAAACGTTCACATTTTTTCCTTATCATGGCTAGACTGTCTTTTTCCAGCAAAATGGCAAAGATAAGTGACCTGGAGGCAGACCTGAGAATAAGCATTGTAAAGTCCTTAACCAGGGCTTTGACAATGGCATCTGAACCAGAAAATTACTGTTTCAGGTTCCACCTCTTACTCTCAACAGGAACATGGTAACCTGCCCTTTAAGGTTACTGGAAAGTACGCTGGACCCAGAAGGCTAGAAGGCTTAGTAGTTGACAGGTTGCTTGGGGGATGGTATCATTGGATACATAATCTTAAACATGGCTTGTTATTTACCATTGCAGGAAAAAGACAACACTTACGAAAACAGAAGAGCACTTTCCAACTATGAAAAACCATAGAATTATTTCAACTTTTCAAACAAATCATGGAAAATCCAATTCCAGAAGCTATGGCAGGGTTAATGGACACAAACCAATCAGGTCTTTAAAAAAATAAAACAAACAACTAAAACTAAATAACAAATTCAACTGATTACAAAGAAAGATGCCAGAATATAAGGAATCTGTAACGAATAGAAATTATAAAAATACTAAAACCTAACAGAATAGAACTGAGAAATACTTTCCTAATTTGCCAAGAAAATTTTAAGCAACATAACATTTTCAAAAATTCTAGCCCTGGGGCTGGCAGGTGGCGTGGTGGTTAAGGATGCTGGACTTCCACATGGCTGACTACGGTTCGAGTCCTGGACCTGGCAGCCTTCTTTTTCTCTCTCTCTCTCTCTTCTCTCTCTCTCTCTCTCTCTCTCATTCTCTCTGTCCCTCTCTGGTGAAATTAAAAATAAATAAATAAATAAAGTTAAATAAGATAATCCTTTAAAATAAAAACTTTAGCCTGGGACCAGCAGTTAGCATAATGGCTATGTCACTGAACTCCCACGTAGTCGACCGTGGTTCGAGTCCCGGACACGGTGGCTTAAACTCACACCGGGCGCGTGTGCATGCGTGCCCAAGATCCCAAGAGGAGAATGGAGGAGAAGGGACTGCGACGTGGCCATCCCCCCTGGGGGGTGATTTCCCACTTTCTGTCTCTCTGTCTCTCTCTGTCTGTCTGGTGAGCGCATGCGCCCTATAGCAAAAATCTCTTCAAAAAAAAAAACTTTAGCCTAACATTTTTAAAAACTGGTAAAAATGTATACTATGTGCATTTCTTTTAGCATATGAGGTTATGTGATGACTGCTAACCTGAAGATGATTCTTGGAGGCAAATTATGTGCCTCAGTCTTGAGTAGGAGAATTGTCTTCAAGGGTAGTCGAAATTATAAGACAATTAAAATCAGTCAGGAGGGACTGAGGGAGGGAGGAAGGTGCCAACATTTGAGTTAGAGAAATTAATTTTTTAAAAATACCTTAGAGCAAAAATGATTTCCTCTCATATTATTTGGGTTGTCGGAAAAGTCAAGATGTATTTTTCTATGCAAAAATGTGTCACGAATCTTCCGATAACCCAATATAATGGGGTAGTGGTACAGTGCACAAATTCCTGCCAGGTTGCATACAAAACACCCATACCAGCAACAAAAGGTGAGACTAGCATAGACACTAGAGTAAGAATATGCTAAGCTAAAATACAGAAATTCAAAGCACAAAGTGAAGCACAGGAAACCTCAGAAGCAATCTATCACAACAGACTCTAGGTGTCAGCACTGTGCCAAGTAAGCTGTGCAACGCACTGACTCTAGTACCTTGCTGTACTGGTTTTCAACCCATTCAGAAAGGAGGCATCAGACAGGGGCTGCGCACAGCATAGATATTTGCGGACTTTGTTACCATTTCACTAGGAAAACAAGATGAGGATTGAATGCTACTCTGCCGTAAAAGATCTAAAGTACCCAAAAGTATGCATTCATTATTAAATATAAATTACAACTTATTAACGTATTTAATAAGTGTTAAGTGAAGGATAGTCTTTTTAAAACCCAGATACAATTTTTAAATATTTTCAGATCCTCTGAAAGCATTTCCATGAAGGTTTAAATCAGTGATATCAAACTTTTTTGATCACGTCTGTCCAGAAAAATAAAAAAAGAAGAGGAAGGAGCATGTCATTTCCCTGTATTAAGTATTTATTGTGTGTGTGCATATGTGAGTGTTTGCATATGTGGATATTGTATATGTGCATGTGTATATGTTTGTGTCTTATACACAGAAATAAAAAGTAAGCAATGCATAAATAGCAATATGAACAGAAATGCTAATATTTTCTTTCTATATTCAAAAATAAATCAGTCTTGTGTACTCTCTGAAGCATACAACCAACCCCCAGTTTGAAACTTCAGGCTTAGGTGAAATAAATGAACTTCTAAACCAGATGGCCAAAAAAAAAGAGCAAGCCCTAATTCCACCTAGGTGAATAAAAGAAATGCTGAATTACATCATTTGCTTTTCATTTCTGGGAGTCATTACATTTTGGTATTTATTTCCAGGGCTGAAAATACACTGTTCTTTGTGTAATAACCACTAGACAAAATGTCTATGATAAACCAGTATTTGATTCTGAATATGCCTTTCATAATATAAGCAAGGACTGGGTTTGAAAGACTGATTTTTTTAAGTTGAAATTTGGAATATACCTCCCTAACGAAAGGAGTTCTGTTTCCATAGGTCGTGTATATAAGAGAGTCTAGTATATACATAATATTCATTACCTTATCCATCCATCTAGCCAACTAGATTTGTTGAATGCTATACTATGATACAATCAAAGGCCTCTTTGGCACAATGTCCCTGGGTCACATTGTGCTCTCTCCCAACACCACCTGTTCACACTTTCAAGCTTCTGCATATGTTGTTCCCCTCTGCCTTGTAAAATGTTCCACAGACTACAAACACAACACCAATGTGAACCCCAACAAGAAACTTTCCCTAGTTCTCCCAAATGCTAGTGAATCTTTCCTTCTCTAGTCTCACAGCATTTGTCATATTTCTTATCGCATTATCCCGCCATCATACACCTGCCTTCTTTACTATTCTGTGTTTTAAAACTATAATCGAGGAACCAGCAGTTAGCGTAATGGCTATGTCGCTGGACTCCCACATAGTCAACCGCGGTTCGCGTCCCGGACCCGGTGGCTTAAAACTCACGCCGGGCGCGTGTGCGTGCGTGCCCAAGATCCCGAGAGAATGGAGGAAAAGGGATTGCAGCGTGACCATCCCCCCTGGGGGGTGATTTCTCACTTTCTGTCTCTGTGTCTCTCTCTGTCTGTCTGGCGAACGCACGCGCCCTATAGCGAAAATCTCTCAAAAAAAAAAAAAAAAACTATAATCGCATGTCTCCTTATTTCTCTTTTTATTTCCAACTGCCTAGGCACTAATCTCATACATACTAGACCCTCAAATGCCTTTATATAAACACAATTGAACAATGTTCCTACAGAAAAAAATTTTTCAGCACTTCAGCTGAGATGTGCAGCACACTTCATTCCCCAGCCGCTGATCCACCACTCTCCACAGACTGTTCCTTGCCTCCCTAACAGGATTCATTTTCCTGCTACCTGAACATCCAGAAGAATTTTCACTGGGGAGGATTAAGCTATAACTTTATGTTTAGATTTGAGTTTCCCATGGCAGTGAAAAGAACACTGAAACAACTTGTCATAGTCAGTTGGGCGGCTATGACAAATTACCAGAATGGGTGGCTTATAAACAACAGAAATTTATTTCTCTTAGTTCTGGAGGCCGGAAGTCTAAGATCAGCACACCAGCATGACTGGGTTCTAATAAAGACCCTCTTCAAAGATGCAGACTGACTTCTTGTATCCTCAAATGGCAGAGAGAAGTGAAGAATCGCAGGACCCTTGAAGGACATTAATCCCATTCTTGAGGGTGGATCCCTCACAACCTCATCTAATCCTAAATACCACCCAAAGGCCCCACTTGCTAATACCATCACAATGGGTAGTGTTCAATAGTGAATCTGACACAAACATTCAGCTCTTAACCTTAAAGGAGAAATGAATAGAAAGGCGAGGTGTTCTCATGTTTACGTACCTTACCCTCTGGACAAGAGTAGTTAAACCACATACCAAAAGATGTTAAAGGGATTTTCAAAACAAGTAACTTCTTTTTCATACCATATAAGACTTGAGAAACCCCGAGCTAATGGACACATTAAGTTTCTGTGATATCAAGTCACATAAACTGATAAAGAACACACAGACTATAAAACAAAATTAAAATGCACAATGAAACTTTGAATTCCAATTATTTAAAAGTTTCAGGGACCAGCAGTTGGCGTAATGGCTATGTCGCTGGACTCCCTTGTAGTCGACCGCGGTTTGAGTCCCGAACCTAGTGGCTTAAACTCACACCGGGTGTATGCGCATGTGTGCCCAAGACCCCGAGAGGAGAATGGATTGCGGCATGGCCATCCCCTCTGGGAGGGGTGATTTCTCCCTTTCTGTCTCTCTGTCTGTCTTTGTCTTTCTAGCAAGCACATGCACCCTATAGCAAAAATCTCTCCAAAAAAGTTTCAGACAGATTTAAAAGACACTGGCAAATATTTCAATCTGAACTGTGAACAAGTATAATAAAGCATAAAGCCAAACAAATTAGGATAGAGTGAAATAAACTTAATATTCATCAAATACCAATAATGAGACCAAGTTGGGCACTGTCTTATACATTAGATTCTTCAATCCTCTCAATAACCTCAAGGTGGATATCTGCCACTTTTTTGCACCAAGATTAATGACAGTACCAAGTAACTTGTATTTCAAATAGAGGTCAGTCCCAAAAGCCTTAGTTCTTTACACAAAACAATCCCACCAGCATCTTGCTGCTTTTTATTTAGATTGATGTGCACTTTAAGAATAAACTTGTCAGGGCCAGCAGGTGGCGTGGTGGTTAAAGGTGCTGGATTCCCACATGGCCAACTGGGGTTCGAGTCCCAGACCTGTGTGGCTGCTTTCTCACTTTCCCTTTCTCTCTCTCTGTTTCTGTCTGATCAAAATAAAAAATAATAACAAGTGGAAATAAATAAAGAAAAAGAAGTTTAAAAAAAAGAATAAACTTGTCAATACTAGCAGATGGCATGGTAGTTATATTGCTGGACTCTTACATGGCCAACCACGGTTCAAGTCCCAGGCCCAGTGGCTTGAAAATCATGCTGGACATGTGTGCATGCATGTCCAAGACCCTCAGAGGAGAAGGGATTGCTGTGTGGCCATCCCTTCTGGGGAGTGAGTTCTCATTTTCCCTCTCACTGTGTCTCCTCCTGGTGAGGTCACACATCCTAAGGAAAAAACCCTAAAAAAAAAAAAAAAAAAAAGGACCAGCAGATGGCATAATGGCTACGTCACTGGACTCCCATGTAGTTGACTGCAGTTCGAGTACTGGGCCTGGTGGCTTAAACTCACACCAGGCACATGTGCATGCATGCCCAAAATCCCGAGAGGAGAATGGAAAAGAAGGGATTACAGTGTGGCCATCCCCCCGGGGGTTGATTTCTCTCTGTCTCTTGTCTTTCTGGCAAGCACACACACCCTATAGCAAAAACTTCTCAAAAAAAAAAAAAAAAGGAGGAAGAAGAAGAAGAAACTTATCTAATTTAACCAGATCAATGATCCAAGGAGAAAATAAGAAAGTGGCCAACGGACTACATCTCCCAAAAGCACAGGCCTGGATGGCTTCACAGGAGAATTCTAACAAACTTAAAAAAAAAAAAACAGAATACAGAGCATTATGTTCCACAACACTTTTTTACAAAGTCACAAAGTCAGCAGCAAAGTGATATCAAAACATAATAAAGATAATACCCTCCCAATAAATAAAGGTCAAGTCCTTTATCAATAGCATTTATCAATAGCACTAATGAACATATTTTTATTTACAATTTTTGTACACAGGATCTATATTGATGCATTAAAAGAAGACTATTCTACTTAAGCCTAGAAATGCAAGGTGTATATATCTGAGAAGAGAACTGATAAGTCAAAAGAGGAAAAAAATGACATCTCCATAGCTTGAAAACTAAGGTGACAAAATTTAATATTGACTTGTAATTTTAAATTCTTTAAATACAAGATTGCCCCCCCAAAAAATGTATCTCAAGCCAAAATATAGCATAATATTTAAAGCAGAAATATTTTCATTAGTCAGAAACAAGACACAATGTTCACCTTTTTAGAAGTATTTATATAAAACAAACTTTCTACTACCTAAAAGTACATCAGAAGGGACCTCCTGGGGCCAGCTAGTGGTGTGGTGATTAAGGCAGTAGATTCCCACATGGGAGACCATGGTTTGAGTCCTAGACATGGCAGAGTAAATATTACACCAGGTAGGTGTGTGTGCCACAAAATCCCGAGAGGAGAATGGAAGACAAGGGATTGTGGCACGGCCATCTCCCTTGGGAGGTGATTTCTTACTTTTCCTCTCTCTATGTCTCTCTGCAGTGAGCACACATGCCCTATGGCAAAATACTAAAAAGAAAAAAAAAGGGAGGGCCTCCATAAGCAAAGCTGTCAAGTACCCAGTGTTGTGCTGGTAAATGTTTAACAATCCACTTAGAAGGGAGTGGCTATTTGTAGTGTTTGCTAACTTCCATGGTGTAAATACTCTTACCATGATCAATTTCAAATAATGTCCATGTGTAACAACCAGTTCACTAAATTCCCAGCAATATAACAATTAGCTCTTATGAGCCAATCTAAGCCAGATCCATCATACCACAGCTTAACATCCAGACATAGATACAGACACAAAGGGACTTCAAAAAGGTTGTGGGAAATGGAATTAAAGTTTACTTTGGCACAGAAAACATTTTGAGAGCCAAGCATAGTTTTTCCATAGCATGCATTTTCCATGAACATTTTGAAAAAGACTCCCTTGTATGTATGTGCTGGTAGGAATACATTTTTGGATACATTTAAATAGAAAAACAAAAAAAGCATAATAGGATTCTATTAAAATAAATAATTTACTTCATGTAGATATTTACACATTTATATAGACTACCCTTTTTTCTAAAGCTTTTTTTTTCTTTTTGGAGTTTTTTTTGTTTTGTTTTGTTTTGAGAGGTTTTTGCTATAGGGCGTGTGCACTCACCAGACAGACAGAGAGAGAGACAGAAAGCGAGAAATCACCCCCCCAGGGGTTTGGCCACGCCGCAATCCCTTCTCCTCCATTCTCCTCTCGGGATCTTGGGCACGCACTCACACGCGCCCAGCGTGAGTTTTAAGCCACTGGGTCCAGGACGCGAACCGCAGTCAACTACATGGGAGCCCAGCAACATAGCCATTACGCTAACTAAAAGTCCCATAAAGGTTTTTGTTTGTTTGTTTGTTTAAGGTTTCTGTCAGAGGGTGTGTGTGCTCACTGGAGAGAAACAAAAAAAGACAGTGAGAGGGAAAGAAATTAAGAAATCACCCCCCTAGGGGGGATGGCCACTCTATAATCCGTTCTCCTCTATTCTCCTCCTATGATTTTCAAGCCAAGTCTGGAGCTCAAACTGCAGTTAACCATGTGGGAGTTCAGCACTGTAGCCAGCACGCCACCTGCTGGTCCCATAGACTATCTTTTAAAGAATATTCAATATGCTTAAATAAGATTTTGGAATAGGAATGGATGAGAAACTTCATTGTATACCCTCTTGCAAGCTACCTTAACATTTTTTTTTAACACGAATTACTTCTTCACAAAAATTACAATTTTGAAAAATTTGACATGTCATTACATTTTCATTTTACCATATAATTCTCCTTTTCTTGATCAGATACTTTTCCCTTTTTTTATGCTTAAAATAATTATCACTAGATTTAACAACTCTAGCCAAAATTGGTCTGTAAACCAAATAAACTGAAATTAGAAGACACATTTTCACCTTCTGTTTTTTCTTTTCAAAACTAATCTGATTAACAAAATGCCTGTGGTTTAACTACAAGACATTTACCGAAAATATTATACAAGTAATCATTTTACCTACAACTGCTTTTAGTTAAAAAATAAATTACACCAAGTATGCAGAGCACACTCAGACATCCTTAAAACAGGCCAGTATTCATGAGCTCACATGGCAAGGCCACTTTGCACCTCACGGCATTCACACAGTTTCACATGGAAATCATCAGGATCTAATTAGTGCGTTGGAGAAAGGAAGCAATAATAGAGTGCCAAGGAGCAGGCTGCAAAATTTATAGGTCACTAAAGGTCACCCCTAGCAACAAGACCTCTTGTCTCAGGTTTGCAATGTGTCACATGCCAGACTCCTTAGACGCAACAGGCAGCTCTGTACATCTACAATCAACTAGCTTGTTTTCGATCCTTGGTGGAGACTGCCCTCTTGTCCAGTTTGACTTCCTCTCCATTTTAGTGTCAGAAACACGAGGAAATAAAATTTGTGATTAGACTGACGTTTATTTCCCCCTGTTCTTCCACCTCCTGCTATGCCAGGAAGTAGCTTTAAAAGTCTATCATGTGGTTGCCCAACAGGACACAGGAAGCCAGGACCTTACAACCTGATGACTAGTGAGAGTAATGCAGAGAGATGGAGCTGAGGCTTAATTACACAGGGAATCGCACTGAAATAAGGTCAGGCCCTGAATTACTAAGGAGGACATTTACCAGATTTTTCAGTGTGCAACACACATATGATATGTGGATGCTCACGTGTAAAGCAGTTTTTCTCTACCATAAGAAACCATTCAACAACAGGACTGTAAAAATGGACATGAAGACAGATGAAATATCTGTTCCATCTGTTCTTTTCCCCACCATTCTAGGTCTATAGAATTCTCCATTTTCCAACCATCGATACAAATCTGAAACAATTTGGCAAATAAGATAAGCATTAAATCTGAAGGGACTAAGACCTGGGGTATAGGGAGGTGGGGAGATGGACAAGAAGAAATTAAGGTGCAGGCAGATGTTAATACAAATCCACACAGAACTCCACTGCTATACAAAACAAGAGCATTATTCTAAGACAGAGATGTCCATGCTATCTGATAACTATGTCACTTACAAAATGATAATGAATTTCTTTAAAATGTATGCAAGCTCTTAGTTTTTAAAGTGAAGGCCAACCCAGGCAGTAACACAGAAAAACTGAAGATTTTTATATACTAGCATGTGCTACTTCTAAAATAACTTTTATAGTATTATAAATTAACTTATAAAAATGTAAAAGAGTTACAGTCATAACTTTCTAAATGACCTCAAATGCTAACCACATTAAGTTAAAACACATTAAGTCACATTAAGTGCCAGAGTCATAGCAAATGTGAAGAGATAGGAAATCACCCATTTCTTCTGATATTATTTCTTCATTCAATACTGCTGAAGCCTAAGACCATGCAATCAAAACACTGAATGTTATACAAAGAAGTGATATGTGCTAGAACATGAATAGTCTTTAGAGAAGAAAAACAGATCTATCATTTTTAGAGTCTAGGTCAAGAGATGCAAAATGCAAAACAAAATACCCATGACATTCTGCAGGTACATGTGAGTAGATTAAAAGGCATCATTTATTGCCTGACTCTGTTTAAAAGCTAATAAGTAAATGGTTCAAGTTCCATTTAAAACCAGAGAATACAGACACATTTTAGCTTTCCATGTCAGGCAGGCAGGCTAAGCTAAGTATTAATTATTACCACTGCAAGGGAAGCACTAGAGTTCTATAAAATCCACATTAAGATGAACATTAACCAAGGTGATATTCTACATGGGTTAACTATAATTATTTCAAATTCCAGACTATTCTAAGAAATACTAGACAATGTTTAATTGTGCATAAAATCACACATTCCAATAAACAGCTATGCTGGGTAAGAACTGGCCTGACCACACTTACCGTTTTCCACATAGGGATGAAAGGGAAGGACCAGGGCAAGAATGACCCGGCCTCTAGTTGGCTCCAAGACACTTCTAATATCTTTTAACAAAGTCAGAGGCTGATCACAGCGATCCAGCAAATTCAAGCAGCTGATGACATCATACTGGAACCCTGTATTCTGCCATTCATTTATACCAAGCACTCTGGAAAATCAAAAAGAACTGGATTATTATAACCCCAGTTAAAGACTTCTTTAAAAAACAACTCAGGGGATCAGCAGATGGCATAATGGTTACATCACTGACTCCCATGTAGTTGACTGCTATTCAAGTCCCAGACTCAGTGGCTTAAAACTCATGCCGGGGGACTAGCAGTTGGCGTAATGGCTATGTTGCTGGACTATGTAGTCGACCGTGGTTCAAGTCTCAGACCTGGTGGCTTAAACTCACATCAAGCGCATGTATGTGCATGCCCAGGATCCCAAGAGGAGAATGGAGGAAAAGGGATTGCGGTGTGGCCATCCCCCCTGGGGGGTGATTTCTCCCTTTCTGTCTCTCTGACTCTATCTTTCTGGCAAGTACACACACCCTATAGCAAAAACCTCTCAAAAAAAAAAAAAAACCTACTCACGTCGGGCACAAATGCATGTATGCCCCAAATCCCGAGAGAACGGAGGAGAAAGGATTGAACTGTGATCATCCCCCTTGGGGGGTGGTTCCTTGCTTTCTTTCTCTCTGTCTCTCTTCATGTTTCCAGCAAGTACACACATCCTACAGGAAAAACTCTTAAAAAAAAATTCCTGAACATCAGTTAATGAATGAGAGTCCTTTTAAACATTCACTATAATTTAATCACAAAGTATATCATATATTCGTGTTTTCAATTCATAGGGTCCCTCCTATTCTTAAGAATGGCTAGAGGGCTGGCAGGTGGCATGGCGGTTGCTACGCTGGACTCCCACGTGGCCGATGGCAGTTCCAGTCTCAGACCTGGTAGCTTGCTTTCTCACTTTCCCTTTCTCTCTCTGTCTCTCTGGTCAAATTTTAAAAATAGAAAATAATAATAATAATAGTAAGAAATAAAATTAAATAAATTTTAAAAAAAAGAATGGCTAGAGGTGCACAAAATAATCCCCATTTATAATCTATGATCTTTTTTAAAAGCTTATTTGTTTCATCTATAAGAAAGAGATAAAGACAGAGAGCACCCTCAAAATGGTCCTGAGCCATGATCCACTCCTAGCCAGCCCCAGAACATAGGGACACACGTGCCTGGAGTATTCAGGGAGGTCTCTGAGATCTGAGCCAGAACCCTCCCACATGGGCAGCCTCACAGTGTCACGTTTTACTGCTATGCCACTGTGTGGCCACCCTATTATCGTCTGAGCACATCTCTGTTCCAAGGAGAGATGCTACTTTATACTCTAGAATCTACATATCTGAATAGCTATACAGAGAAAGAGAAAACACAGGGCATCCTATTAGGTTATGGAGTAGCAAACTACAACGGAGTTAAAAAAAAAATGTGTCACCAATTTTATATATATGCATATATATGTGTATATGCCGCAATCCCTTCTCCTCCATTCTCCTCTCAGGATCTTGGGCATGCACGCACACGCGCCCGGCGTGAGTTTTAAGCCTACAGGTCAGGGGCTCCACCAGGTCAGCATAGCCATTACGCCATCTGCTAGTCCCGGATAAGCACTCTTAAAGTGAGCCACATTGCTTCCTCACTCTTTCTCTTTCTCTATCTTTCTCCAGCAAACACATGTACCCTCTAATAAAAAAAAAAAAAAATTTTAAAAACTGGGGCCAGCCAGGTAGCATTGTGGTTAAAGTAGCTGAATCCCACATGACCAACTGGATGGTTCAATCTCAAGACAACAAAGAAGGAAATGTTGGGTAGTTGACCCCTAGTGGGTACTTTCTCATTTTTTCTGTCTCTCTGCAGGAAGCACATATAGCAAATTTAAAAAATACTCTGAAATCTCAGTCATACACACACATACACACACACACACATTTTTTAGTCCTTTAGGATGTTTTTATCTACAGAAAGTGGGAATTTTTATATCAGGAGTCTTTGTTAGCCTTAATAACATTAAGGAATTCTATACTTAAGAATTCTATACTTTTAGGGTCAGCAGGTGACATGGTGGATAAAGGCTCTGGATTCCCACATGACCGACCGTGGTTCGAGTCCCAGACCTGGTGATCTGCTTTCTTGCTTTCCCTTTGTCTCTCTGTCTCTCTTTAGTCAAATTAAAAAACAGTAATAACAACGAATAGAATTAAATAAATAATTCTTCAAAAAAAAAAAGAATTCTATATTTCTATACCTCTGTTTGGAAATATCAGTCAGAATATGATAGGTCAGACATGTTATAAGACAGAGAGGTGGGGACCAGCAGATGGCATAATGGTTATGTCACTAGACTCCCACATAGTCAACACCCAAATAGTTGACTGCAGTTTGAGTCCCAGACCCAGAAGCTTAAAATGCATGCCAAGTGCACGTGTATGCATGCCCAAAATCTAGAGAATAGAATGGAGGAGAAGGGATTGCAGTACAGCCATTCCCTCTTGGGGGGTGGGGGATTTCTCCTTTCTGTCTCTCTTTCTTTCTCTGTCTCTCCAGCGAGCACATGTGTCCTAGAGAAAAATCTCTTAAAAAGAGAGAGGTGAAAAAGAAAACACAAAATGAATCTTTGCTAAACGAGTCTTTAATAATGCTGAAGAGATACAGTAGAGATAACTTAGAAGATCTAAAAGAATAATGAAGGTAGTTTTGAAAACTCATTAGCATAATGTCATTTTATAGCATTCTGAATAGCAGAATAAAAAAGAACACAAGCCACTCAATTGCATCTGCTTTTCAATTTATATTTTTATGAAACTAAAGCTTCCTCCAACAACAGTCTGACAGACTTCAAGGGACTAGTCAAGAGTTCCCTGCTGTACAGATGTCTTATTGCACAGAATATTGCATGAAATAAGCAGGGCATTAGGACTTCAAAATCACTTTGTTGTACTGAAATCAACTACACTAATGATTTTAGAAGCTGGATTTAGCTCATTCAAAGAAGAATTTCAAAATATTCCTGTAAAAATTCTATCTTTGAGACAAAAATTTTATCAATTCCCATTGTAAAAACTGAAATGAACAATTAAAATGAAAGAACTATTTATATGTTAATGACTTAGCCAAAGAGCCAATTTAAAATCAAAAATTGCAAAAGACGGGACCAGCAGTTAGCATAATGGCTATGTCGCTGGACCCCCATGTAATCAACCGCGGTTCGCCTCCCAGACCCAGTGACTTAAAATTTACACTGGGCACATGCGCGTGCGTGTCCAAGATCCTGAGAGGAGAATGGAGGAGAAGGGACTGTGGCGTGGCCATCTCCCTGGGGGGTGATTTCTCGCTTTCTGTCTCTCTGTCTCTCTCTGTCTCTGGCGAGTGCATGTGCCCTATAGAAAAAAACACTCAAAAAAAATTGAATTTAAAAAAAAGTAAAAAATCTTAGGTCTGAATGCAATGAAGCAGAAGCCAAACATCATCAGCATGTTTAAATCTAAAATAATCTCACTAAACACATCTCAAAATTAGTTGCAAGTAGGTAGTTTCCATGTAGGTAATTTTGAAAAGTAGAAAACATGCTCAATCAGAAAATTATAACTTTAATGCTGGGACATTTAAACATATATGTACAGAAGCTCAATTTTATTCTTATTCTCTTCTGTCATTCTCATTTGTAAGCTTAGTTTCATTGATGAAAGCAAATTTACTAGCCCTACATAAATTGTACATTTGCCCAAGAATATTAAAAAAGTTGTTAAAGTTCTCCCCTTTGATAAAAAATGAGAGACTGAGTTGTTCAAGTTCATGCTGCAAATAGCTAAAAAAGTAAAAATTCTTTTTTTTTTTTTTTTGGCATGGCAATCCAAATTTTTTTTCACTACTCATGCTAAATTATACAAAACAGCACCACTTTAATGAAGGCTTTTAGTAAAAACTCTTTTTTTTTTCTTTTTAAACAGATCTCTTCATGTCATGAACTTCTTTGCCTCAGCCTTTCAAGTCACTAGGATTGCAGGCAAATATCACCATGCTGGGAGTTAGGCTGGACCAGGAATTGAACCCCAGCTTTCCCTATGGTCCCAAACTGTGGAGCACAGCATCCTACCACTTATGCCACTAAGACTGGGCCACAGCAGAAATTCTTTTTTTTTTTGGAGAGGTTTTTGCTATAGGGAGCGTGTGCTCGCCAGACAGAGAGAGAGACAGAGAGACAGAAAGCGAGAAATCACCCCCCAGGGGGGATGGTCACACCACAATCCCTTCTCCTCCATTCTCCTCTCGGGATCTTGGGCATGCACACACACGCGCCCGGCGTGAGTTTTAAGCCACCAGGTCTGGGACGCGAACCGTGGTTGACTACGTGGGAGTCCAGCGACATAGCCATTACGCTAACTGCTGGTCCCCAGAGCAGAAATTCTAACTCAGAAATTCTCCTAGAATGTTATTCAGGTCAATAAACCAGCTCTCTCCATAAAAGATAAGAAACGGCCTGATGATCGTTCTTTGAATAAATCCTTCCGTCTTAGTAGGCCGAGAGTGAATGGTAATGGCAATCTGTTGGTACCATCCTAAATCATCATAGATAGATTTGTCTAGTGTTCTTCATGAAGATTTCTAGATGTTTCCTAACGTCTCTTTCAAGTACCTGAAGGAACTTCTCTCTTCTCTAATATTTTTTTTAATTTTCCCAAAGGCAAGTACACTTGCCAGAGAGAGACAAAGAGAAAGAAAGAGAAGGAGAGTGAGAAAACATCCCTCATGGTGGTCGTGCCACAATCCCTTCTCCTCCATTTCTCCTTTCAGGATTTTGGGCATGCACACACATTTGTTCAGGGTGCTTCTCTAGCCAGCAGGTCCAGGACTGGAACTGCACAGCTGGACATGTGCAGTTAACCAGCATCTTTAACCACCACGCCCTGGCTGGCCCAATATCAGTTTAAAATAAATTTCCTTTCCCTCCTCCTCCTATTTGGTCTTTCCTCCAGGCTAAAAATTTCCATATTTTGCAAATGTTCAATCTAGTCCTGCTCCAAAAGCTATACTGAGGCTCTACCTCTAGGATTAGTCTGTAAAAGCAGAAACATGTGGGCAAGTGAATGATTGGCCAAGCTACAGTAGCATGTGCTAGACACTGCTGTTTGCCAGACTGAGGCCACCTTAAAAAGCTGATTAAAGGGACTAGCGGGTGGCGTGGTGGTTAAGGCGCTGGACACTCCCACATGGCCGACAGGGGTTCAAGTCCTGAATCTGGTGGCTTGCTTTCTCACTTCCTCTCTCTCTCACTCTCACCCTCAATCTCTCTCTAGTCATATTAAAAAATAAATGAGTGAATAAATTAATAAAATAAAGTTATTAAAAAAAAAAAAGCCGATTAAATTCCCAGCCCACCTTGAAAAGCCTGGCCACAGCTACATCCAGCTATATAGGAGGCTAAGGCAGGAAGATCACTAACTCACAGCCAGTGCAAGTAATACAGTGAGGTCCTGTCTAAAAACACCATAGCCACATCTACGCTCACATGCACCAAGAGGAAAAAAAAGGCAAGTGAGTGAGTGCAAAATTCTATCTACTTTCTCTCTAAAGCTAAACAAGGCTTCCAGAATATTATGGAGACGGAAGCAGGCTCTAGTTCCATCACTCCCTTTTTATTTTCACTCAATATATAGAATCTCCCAAACAGCAGAATCCACATTACACTCTTCTTTTTAAGTCTTTCAAGTACCAGATGGTCTTAAAATCAAGATTTGACATTTCACATCCATTATCACTGACGGCTATTATTTTAAAACCACACACAACAGAAAATAGCAAGTATTATCAAGGATGTGGAGAAATTAGAACCCTTCTGTACTGTTGGTGGGAACATAAAATGGTGCAGCTGCTATAGAAAATGTATGCCAATTTCTCAAAAAATTAAACAGAATTACCATGTGCTCAAACAATTCCACTTTTGGGTGCATATCCAAAACAAGTGAAAACAGGGGCTCAAATAGATATCTGCATACCCACGTGCAAAGTAGCATTATTCACAACAGCCAAACTGTAGAAGCAAACCAAGTGTCCATCAACAGACGAACAGATCAATAAAATGTCATATACAGGGACCAGCAGTTGGCGTAATGACTATGTCACTGGACTCCCAAGTAGTTGATTGTGGTTCAAGTCCTGGACCCAGTGGCTTAAACTCATGCTGGGTGCATGTGTGTGCATGCCCAAGATCCTGAGAGGAGAAGAGAGGAGAAAGGATCGCAGCATGGCCATCCTCCCTGGGGGGTGATTTCTCGCTTTCTGTCTGTCTCTCTCTGCCTTTCTGGAGAGTGCACATGCCCTATAGCAAAAACCTCTCAAAAAAAAAAAAAAAAAGTCACATATATCCATATGATGGAATATTATTGAGCCTTAATGTAAATTTTGGCACATGCTACAGCACAGATGATTCTTAAAGACATTATGTTAGGTAAAGTAAGTCAGTCACAAAGGACAAATGTATGAGTCCACTTACATCAGGTACATAAAACAGACATATTCATCAAGAGAAAGAATGGTGGTTGTCAGGGCTAGGATGACGGAAGAACAGAGAGTTACTGCTTAGTGGGTACAGAGTTTCAATGTCACTGGACTCCCAAGTAGTTGATTGTGGTTCAAGTCCTGGACCCAGTGGCTTAAACTCATGCTGGGTGCATGTGTGTGCATGCCCAAGATCCTGAGAGGAGAAGAGAGGAGAAAGGATCGCAGCATGGCCATCCTCCCTGGGGGGTGATTTCTCGCTTTCTGTCTGTCTCTCTCTGCCTTTCTGGAGAGTGCACATGCCCTATAGCAAAAACCTCTCAAAAAAAAAAAAAAAAAGTCACATATATCCATATGATGGAATATTATTGAGCCTTAATGTAAATTTTGGCACATGCTACAGCACAGATGATTCTTAAAGACATTATGTTAGGTAAAGTAAGTCAGTCACAAAGGACAAATGTATGAGTCCACTTACATCAGGTACATAAAACAGACATATTCATCAAGAGAAAGAATGGTGGTTGTCAGGGCTAGGATGACGGAAGAACAGAGAGTTACTGCTTAGTGGGTACAGAGTTTCAGAGAGGAAGAAGAAAACCTTCTGGAAATAGATCTCTGCACAACAATGTGAAGATACTTCATACCACTAAACTGTATGATTCCAAATAGTTAAAATGGCAGATTTTATGTTGTGTATATTTTGCCCCAATTAGAGAGGAAAAAGCCCACAAGATTTGAGAATGCTAGATTCTAAGTGGGAAACAAGGCCCTACACTTGAGCTACCATTTCCAAGCAGTCTCTCACTAAGTCTTTTCCTCCATGTGATGCCAATTCTGCTGCTCCAGAAAACACTGCCTTGTAAAAATTATTTCTCGCTAAATGTCTACCCAATTATGTAAAGTTTTTTTTAATCCTTAATCATGGAAATTGTGTCCGATGCACATCCTTTAAATATAAGCTGAGCATTCCTAATCCCCAAATACAAAATGCTCCAAATCCCAAAAGTGTTTGAGCATTGACATGACACAACAAGTGGAAAATTCTATGCTTGACTTCATGTGATGGATCCCAGTCAAAATGCTACAAAGCAAAAATACTGTATAAAATTAAATTTGGGTAGTGTATAAGGTATATATGAAACAAATGTTTTATGTTTAGACAAATACACAAAACATAATATATTATGTTACACAAATATTCCAAAATCTCGGGGAATAAAAATTGAAACACTTCTGTCCCTAAGCATTTCAGAAAAGGAATATTCACTGTGATACACTTTTATTAGGCTTTTGCTATAGGGTGTGTACACTCACCAGAGAGACAGAGAGGGAAAGTGAGAAATCCGCTGCCCCCTGCCACACACACACACATTCCAGGGAGAGAGCCATGCTGCAATTCTTTCTCCTATATTCTCCTCTTGGGATTTTGAGCACAAACACATATGTGCCTGGAATGATTTTCAAGCTTCTGGGTCTGAGAGTCAAACTGTAGGACATGTAGGAATCCAGCATCTTAACTACCACTCCACTTGCTGGCCCTATGATAAACTTTCAAGAAGAAATATAACTAAAACCAAGAAATATATCCCAAACCATGTCTAAATATTATACCTGTATTTCTTCTTCTGAAGTTGCCATATCATAGTTTCAGAAAGCTCAGTGGCATAGATTTCTTCAAAATGAGGGCTCATGATTTTTGTGACTTCTCCATCTCCAGCACCTAAATCAAGAAGTCTATGGGTTTTCCAGTCTGGGTTAATTTTAAGCAGTCTCTGAAACTGATCTGGTGAAAACACAAACATTGAGCCTCTTCCTAGCAACCTGGAGGAGGAAAAAAGGACAAAAATGGAAGAGTCTATGCAAATTAAATAGTACCCATACATATACAAAATGAACACAGTGATTCAGCACCAACAACTTTTGAACTCTTAAAATTTTTACCAAATGATTAAACCATGTTATCTTTTATATAATGCATGCTTAAAAACAAAGTTAGTAAGATAAAAATATATATATACTTCCAGATAGTATCCATCTCTGGAATTACAAATAGTACCCCAAAAGGCGTGGGAAAGGAAAGGAGTAAAAAGTAGAAAAGGAATGGGTGAGAAAGTAAGGGAAAGGAAGAAATACACAATAAATTAAAGACATGAATGAGAAGAATTTAATTCAAAATAGAAAGAAAAGGTAGAGTAACACAAAGCCTGGCAGTCAATTTAAAAAGATGATAAGCTGGGACCAGCCTGTGACATAGTGGTTAAGGTGGCTGGATCCCATGTGGCTGACTACACAGTTCAAGTGTCAGACCCGGAGGCTTGAAAGTCATGCCAGGCATGTGTGCATGTGTGCCCAAAATCTAAGAGCAGAATGGAAGGGAAGAGATTGTGGTGTCGTTCTCTCTGGGGGGTGCTTTCTCATTTTCTCTCTGACAAGTGCACACAGCCTATAACAAACTAAAAGTAAAAAAGACAGGATTGGACCAGCAGTTGGCCTAATGGCTATGTCGCTGGACTCCCATGTAGTCAACCGTGGTTCAAGTCCCAGACCCAGTGGCTTAAACTCACGCCGGGTGCATGTGCGTGCGTGCCCAAGATCCTGAGAGAATGGAGGAGAAAGAAATTGCAGTGTGGTCATCCCCCTAGTGGGTGATTTCTCACTTTCTGTCTCTGTCTCTCTCTACCTTTCTGGTGAGCACATGCACCCTATAGCAAAAACCTCTCCAACAACAACAACAAAAAAAGACAGGATAAGAGAATCAGACCAAAACACTGAGCAATAACACTAGGCAGAGAAATCAAATAGGTAAGAGAGCCATTTCTAATGTGAAACTAAACTATAGGTGAGAAAAATAGCTTTAGTATAATAGTTTTTTTTAACAAATTATTTTATTTAACTTTATTTATTTATTTATTTTTAATTTGACCAGAGAGGGACAGAGAGAGAGAGAGAAAGACAGAAAGTGAGCAAGCAAACCACCAGGTCCATGACTCGAACTGCAGTCAACCATGTGGGAGTCCAGTGCCTTTAATTACCATGCCACCTGCTGGCCCCAGTATAATAATTTTTTTAAAAGATACTAGAGGAAAAGAGTAGTCCTTGTGTTATCAGTTAATTTGCATTAAAGTAGTAGATTTATACTTGTCAATTTATATGTCATCAATTGGCATGGTCCTATTATTTCTAAAGATCCTAAAAAACATTCAAAACCATAGCGATACCTTTGAAAAATCAGACAGAGAGGAATTAAAACAGAGACCAAAGGGAACCCTCAGAAAAAGAGCTATAACTCAAACCGGAAACATTGCCTTGGAAAATAGCAGTCCCTATTTAGAACTTGTTTTCTCACTCTCAAATCCTCATCTGTCTAGGGCTAGGATTCTCAAACATCCTTTAGGCAACAAAAACTCTTTCTTTAAATGATGCTTTTTGAATGAAAAAAAAAATACTAGAGGAAAAGAGTAGTCCTTGTGTTATCAGTTAATTTGCATTAAAGTAGTAGATTTATACTTGTCAATTTATATGTCATCAATTGGCATGGTCCTATTATTTCTAAAGATCCTAAAAAACATTCAAAACCATAGCGATACCTTTGAAAAATCAGACAGAGAGGAATTAAAACAGAGACCAAAGGGAACCCTCAGAAAAAGAGCTATAACTCAAACCGGAAACATTGCCTTGGAAAATAGCAGTCCCTATTTAGAACTTGTTTTCTCACTCTCAAATCCTCATCTGTCTAGGGCTAGGATTCTCAAACATCCTTTAGGCAACAAAAACTCTTTCTTTAAATGATGCTTTTTGTATCCCAGGATCTTGAAGGTATTTGAAAATTTAGCCAAGGGAAAAAAAAAAAAAAAAGCTAGACAAAGTGACAATGATTCTATAATTCCACCCTGTCTTAAATGCAGGACTGTTCACATGAACCAAGCTACCATCTACTGTCTGGCTGATTCATTATATCCCCTCCCAAAAACTTGCTCATGTTTAAGGGCCTCACATGAAGGGCTTGGTTCTGTCTTGCTACCTGTGGTCCGGTCCGGTCCGGAGCCGCAGCACTGGCATTACCTAGGAGCTTAAAATGAAGAATCACAGTCCCCACCCAACACCTACTGACTCATAATCTGCATTTCAGAGGATGCCCAGGGGATTCCTATGAGTCAGACTATTTGGATTTCCAATCCAAAACTAACTAAGATTGCCCTAAATTAACTCTCACCAAAGAAATACAGATTAATGAGGGAGGCCATTTGTTAAATCAGAGTGAACTTAAAAGGTGTAACTCAGGTCAGCCAGATGGCACAGTGGTTAAGGTAGCTGGATCCCACATAGCCAAAGGCATGGTTTGAGTTTCAGACCCGGCAGCTTGAAACTCATGCCAGGTGCATGTGTGCACATCCAAAATCCTTAGAAGAAAATGGAGAAGGGATTGAGGGATGGCCACATCTCCTGGGGGTGATTTCTCACTCCCCACCCCCTTCAGGTGAGCATACACACCCTATAGCGAAAACTTAAAATTTAAAAAACAAACAAACAAACAAAAAAGTGTAACTGATAGAGCACTGGGACTCCTGCCAAGAATTTTCACTAGTAGAATTGCTGTAGTTGAGGTAGTCAATACTTTGAATAAAATATCTTTTCTTTTTCGTTTTTCTTTTTTTAAAGTCTAAGGATCAAGAAAAAATTATCCACGATTCACTTACCCATTGATAGATGTTCTAGACATAAATAGGCTGAAAACAGATGATACAAAAGAATGATATAATTGGATAAATAGCCAGCCAGATTTCTCAATGCTGTTGTTTAAGAAGATCTGTGTTCCTTGATCAAGATAACTCTGAACAAAGACAGCCTGAAGTGATTCACATAATTTCTCTCTGTTACACACATACCACTAAAAAAAAAGAAAAAACAAGAAAAAGAAAAATTAAAACACACAACTGAAATATCACATAAGTAATCTAAAAACAAATTACAGAAGACTAAATCAAATCTATAAAATTCAAAAATTATAATCTCATGGATTTTGAGGATATTCATAATCTCATATACTCGTGTGATATATAAAGTATAAAATGCTTAATCAGATATGACTTCCCACTTAATTCTCATAACAATGCTCAAGGTAGGTTAAAGAAAGGGAAGGATGAAGAGGCTTTTGTTAACAAGTGGCAGGACGAGACCACAAACCCAGGTATTCTGATTCCTGGCCCAATGCTTCAGTCACTATATCCCGAAATACAGAAAAGCTCTCTTGGCTTCTCCTTCACTGAGATTCAACATCAGAAGGCTGCTAGCTAGCATTACTAATCTTGTTTTTAAATTTAAAAAAAAAAAAAACAGTCACATAATCCAATGACTTAACTGAAAAGTACCAAGTAAATCAATGGCAGAGTAGCAGCAGAATTTAACACCCCAGTGACCTGATTAAGTTGCCTTTCTTCTTGTAAGACTATGTAGAAGGGACCTTTATAAATCTTGAGGTGTGCTTTACAAACAGGTCATATGACATTTTTACCAACAGGGAAAATGTGCTCAAAGAAAGATTAAGAAGTTACTTAAGGTCATACTGCAATCAATGAGAAGACCAAGCAGTAATAACAAGCTAAGAACCAGATTTCCAAGAATAGATTCTAACCAAAATGTACTTTTAAAAATAAAAGTCGAGAAGTTCAACTGTAAATAAAATTTAATCTTCCATAATAAATATTTCCCATTTTTTCTCAGAATTAGTATACCAGAGAAGTCAGGAAGCAGAACGGACACCGGCTTTAGAGTCAGCCCCGCAATCAAGTCCGGGCTCTGCCATTCCTGTGTAAAATCAATGAGTCAATCTTTGAACCTCTACTCATTCGTGTGTAGACTAGAGGTTTCACTAGTATCTCTGCCTCCTGTCAGGGTACTAGGAGGAGGAGGAGTAAATTAGGTAAGGCAGGCAACTTCTCAAGGCAGTACAAAGCACACAGTGAGAATCCTGCAGTAATAACAGCAATGAGATCCCTCTCACATGGCCCGATAAATAAGAGCAAGCCCGCTGAGCACAGCGATGAAACCGTAGAGTAGATCAGTTACGATAAATCCTCTGTCTGCTATGAAACAACCAATTTTTCCCAGTAAGGAGTCTATTGGCCAAAACTTGCTTCCCCCTGACGAATGTGGCCATTTATCAGCAGTAGGCATTCTGTAACTGCTTGCACAACCGGTGGGCCAATTTTACAGTCGTCGAAAACTTGCTAAATGTTCAATGAAATCTTGGGTAACATTCCTGACTCTACCATTAAAAGGAACTAGTTACGGGACCAGTAGATGGTGTAATGGTTATGTCTCTGGACTCCTATGTAGTCAACTGCGCTTTAAGTCCCAGATCCAGCAGCTTAAAACTCACACTTGGGCATGCCCAAGATCCTGAGAGGAGAGTAGAGAAGGGACTGTGACAAGACCATCCCCCCTGGGGGGTGTTTTATCCTTAGAAGAAAATGGAGAAGGGATTGAGGGATGGCCACATCTCCTGGGGGTGATTTCTCACTCCCCACCCCCTTCAGGTGAGCATACACACCCTATAGCGAAAACTTAAAATTTAAAAAAAAAAAAAAACAAAAAAAAAGTGTAACTGCTAGAGCACTGGGACTCCTGCCAAGAATTTTCACTAGTAGAATTGCTGTAGTTGAGGTAGTCAATACTTTGAATAAAATATCTTTTCTTTTTCGTTTTTCTTTTTTTAAAGTCTAAGGATCAAGAAAAAATTATCCACGATTCACTTACCCATTGATAGATGTTCTAGACATAAATAGGCTGAAAACAGATGATACAAAAGAATGATATAATTGGATAAATAGCCAGCCAGATTTCTCAATGCTGTTGTTTAAGAAGATCTGTGTTCCTTGATCAAGATAACTCTGAACAAAGACAGCCTGAAGTGATTCACATAATTTCTCTCTGTTACACACATACCACTAAAAAAAAAGAAAAAACAAGAAAAAGAAAAATTAAAACACACAACTGAAATATCACATAAGTAATCTAAAAACAAATTACAGAAGACTAAATCAAATCTATAAAATTCAAAAATTATAATCTCATGGATTTTGAGGATATTCATAATCTCATATACTCGTGTGATATATAAAGTATAAAATGCTTAATCAGATATGACTTCCCACTTAATTCTCATAACAATGCTCAAGGTAGGTTAAAGAAAGGGAAGGATGAAGAGGCTTTTGTTAACAAGTGGCAGGACGAGACCACAAACCCAGGTATTCTGATTCCTGGCCCAATGCTTCAGTCACTATATCCCGAAATACAGAAAAGCTCTCTTGGCTTCTCCTTCACTGAGATTCAACATCAGAAGGCTGCTAGCTAGCATTACTAATCTTGTTTTTAAATTTAAAAAAAAAAAAAACAGTCACATAATCCAATGACTTAACTGAAAAGTACCAAGTAAATCAATGGCAGAGTAGCAGCAGAATTTAACACCCCAGTGACCTGATTAAGTTGCCTTTCTTCTTGTAAGACTATGTAGAAGGGACCTTTATAAATCTTGAGGTGTGCTTTACAAACAGGTCATATGACATTTTTACCAACAGGGAAAATGTGCTCAAAGAAAGATTAAGAAGTTACTTAAGGTCATACTGCAATCAATGAGAAGACCAAGCAGTAATAACAAGCTAAGAACCAGATTTCCAAGAATAGATTCTAACCAAAATGTACTTTTAAAAATAAAAGTCGAGAAGTTCAACTGTAAATAAAATTTAATCTTCCATAATAAATATTTCCCATTTTTTCTCAGAATTAGTATACCAGAGAAGTCAGGAAGCAGAACGGACACCGGCTTTAGAGTCAGCCCCGCAATCAAGTCCGGGCTCTGCCATTCCTGTGTAAAATCAATGAGTCAATCTTTGAACCTCTACTCATTCGTGTGTAGACTAGAGGTTTCACTAGTATCTCTGCCTCCTGTCAGGGTACTAGGAGGAGGAGGAGTAAATTAGGTAAGGCAGGCAACTTCTCAAGGCAGTACAAAGCACACAGTGAGAATCCTGCAGTAATAACAGCAATGAGATCCCTCTCACATGGCCCGATAAATAAGAGCAAGCCCGCTGAGCACAGCGATGAAACCGTAGAGTAGATCAGTTACGATAAATCCTCTGTCTGCTATGAAACAACCAATTTTTCCCAGTAAGGAGTCTATTGGCCAAAACTTGCTTCCCCCTGACGAATGTGGCCATTTATCAGCAGTAGGCATTCTGTAACTGCTTGCACAACTGGTGGGCCAATTTTACAGTCGTCGAAAACTTGCTAAATGTTCAATGAAATCTTGGGTAACATTCCTGACTCTACCATTAAAAGGAACTAGTTACGGGACCAGTAGATGGTGTAATGGTTATGTCTCTGGACTCCTATGTAGTCAACTGCGCTTTAAGTCCCAGATCCAGCAGCTTAAAACTCACACTTGGGCATGCCCAAGATCCTGAGAGGAGAGTAGAGAAGGGACTGTGACAAGACCATCCCCCCTGGGGGGTGTTTTATCTCTTTCTGTCTGGAGACCACACATGCCCTCTACCAAAAATCTCTCTCTTTAAAAAAAAAAAAAAAAAAAATGGAACTAATTATATCACTGCACAAATAAAGAAACATTCTATTTCAAAGATTATCATTTTGGGACCAGCGGGTGGTGCGGTGGTTAAGGCGCTGGACACTCCCACATGGTCGACCAGGGTTCGAGTCCTAAATCTGGTGGCTTGCTTTCTCACTTCCTCTCTCTCTCACTCTCACTCTCTGTCTCTCTCTGATCAAATTTAAAAAATCAATGGATGGGAACCAGCAGTTAGCATAATGGCTATGTCGCTGGACTCCCACGTAGTCGACCGCGGTTCGTGTCCCAGACCCGGTGGCTTAAAACTCACGCCGGGCGCGTGTGCGTGCGTGCCCAAGATCCCGAGAGGAGAATGGAGGA